TTATTACGCTGTCGGGATCGGGGACGATGTGCCTGTGAGGGATTATTACGCTGTCGGGATAGGGGACGATGCGATCGCACTGCGAAGTGGGACTTAGGGAGGGGGCATGACGCCCATCTGATAGCCACTACAAAAGCCTGGAGTAATGAAGGTCGGTGACCCTGGCGTGCCATCTGAAGGGCACTGGTGAGTGTGCACTGGGGAGCCCAGGAGTACAATGTCGCCATGCCATCAATCATGGGCCAAAATCCATCCACACATGTAAAAGCGGCCCGGAACACCTGATTTATATCTCACAATACAGTTCAGAAAAAATTACAAGACCCAATGTGTGACTGGCTCCCGAAATAGCTGTGTGAAAGATCTGCTTAGCGAGGCCCTCTCTCCTGCACAGGTGACCGCGGCTTACAGGGAGGGAGGGGCTTTCCATCAGGTGTCTCTGTCTCAGCACAAGTTCGGGACTCGCTGGTGGTGAGCTGTTATAAATACCATATATATCCCATTTACAATGTCCCATAAATACCAAATATTACCATCATCAGGGAATCGGTTTCTGGCTCAGACATTCCGCAGGACAGTTATGACACCTGAGAACGGTGAGCGCCTCCAGCGTGGTCATGTGGCAGCCACTCCGCTTTCACACATGACCGTGCCTCTCGGCATGGTGACCGTGACCTTCTCCACCCTCAAATGAGGCTCCTGCCCTCCAACAATGGGCAGCATGCTGTGGGCCCGGTAAACAATTTCAGAAAACGGTGTCCTGTGAAATACCGAGGTGTCGCTTCTGCTTGCGTGAACATTTACAGTTACACCAAGTCATGTATACCTGGTACGTTTTTTATGCAGTTAATGAACATTGTAGTTTTTTCCTGAACAGCTCCTTTCGGACAAATAATCCATCCATCAATCATCCACACAGGGTCACAGTAAGCCTGGACCCTCCACAGTTAACCGGGGCATGAGACAGGAGAACACTCTGGACAGGAGACCAGTACAGGATCCTCAAGAAATCCTGATTATGGGCAGCTGGCAGATAATCCAGCAGGCCTCACCTGGAATTCGAAAGTCTCATCGAAGAGCGGGTCATCCTGGTTCTGGGCGGCGGTGCGCGTGCGCTGCTCTGCGCAGTCGGCTGGCACGCCGTGCAGCTCCAGCACCACGTAGGGGTCGATGACCTGGCCCTTGGCGCCGGCCCCCTGTGGCTTGGGCAGCCCGTGGGCGCTGATCACCTTGACCCGCAGAGTCTGGGCCGGCACCCCGGGCACACAGCCCTGCGTGTCGGCGCTGAAGTAGGAGACAGCCTCGCGCATGACGGCGGGCCGCAGCACCAGACCGCAGCCGCCATTCTGGGCGAAGCGGGCTCGCTGCAGGTCCAGCATGGCGCCGGCGGTCTGCTGGTTCAGCGCCACCAGCTGGCACCCCCCCTTCCAGAAGTCCTGGGGGTTAGGGTTGCTGGAGTCCAGCCGCACAGTACTGGGCCGCACCCTCGTTAGGAGCCGCTTGGTGAAGCTCACCAGCTCCTCGAGGGATTCGCTGGCCAGCCTGGCCGCCTCGGCCTCCCCCAGGGAGCACAGGGTCCAGCACGGGGGCAGCACCTGGGCCAGGGGGCTGCTGGGGGTGCTGGGGCTGCTGGGAGGGGAGCGCGGCACTGCCCGGTGGTTGTAGAAGCTGCGGCTCCCGGCGCGAGCCACTGCCACCAAGTCAGACAGCTCCCGGCAGAGGCGTAGCTGGCAGGACTGCGACGGAGGCGGCACCACCAGCACCACACCCGCGTCCTCCTCCCCGGGGAGAGTCACCCGCCGGCCCGCCAGTGGGCCCCCGATTCCAAGCTCCTCCTCTTCCTCTGACACCTCCCCATCAGATCCCTGTTCTTCTTGGGGCAGCTTCTTGCCCACCAGCAGCACTCGGCCCTTTAGCTCCTCGGGAGACGGCAACTGGGCTCCCCGAACCCCCAGCAGCCCATTGGGGGACAGAGGCGTATAAAGTCGGGCTCCAAAGACAGTGCGCAGGTGCTGGGCCAGGACTCGCTGCTGAGCCAGAGAGCAGTTTTGGCACAGGTACAGCAGCAGCGGGTAGGGCGAGGTCAGAAAGGCGTACTTGTTGATCACCTCCAGTGCACCGTGGATGGTGATTGGGGGCATCTGGGAGAGTAGGGGGTGCTGGGAGTTGCGCTCCATTCCCAGAAGAGGCTCCCCATCCGGCCCATCCCTGACGCCCAGCTCCAGGCAGCGGCACCCAGCCTGCAGGGCCTGCAGGAGCCCCCCAAGCTCAGCACGCCCATGCACCTGGTCTTCCAGCAGGTAGGAGCGGTAGGAGGCACTGATGTAGTAGTGGGACAGTGGCAGGGTCATGTCCTGACATACCTGCTGGTGGTCAGGGTCAAACAGGTAGCACTCAGGTGACTGCAGATAGCGGGTGAAGCCATCCAGGCCCAGCAAACCCTTCTCCCTGCCCTGGGAGGATGGCTCGAAGCGCCGCACGATGTCCAGGCAACCCTCAACCGTGGCTAGAGGAAGGCCCTGCTCCGTCTCCAGGAAGAGCCGCAGGTCCTGGCCGTCCAGGCATTCGCGGTCCTTGGAGAGCTGCACCAGGAGGAAATAGACATCGGCTCGGGTGCAGAGCTCGCAGTAGGCCTCCTGAAACTCCTCCAGCGTGACGTGGGAGGTCAGCTTCTCCTTGCTTCGCTGGATTTCCTTGAATTTCAGTTGGACCTTTTGACATGGGTGTGCAAAGCAGAGCAGTAAGGATAAAAAAGAAGAAAAAGAGGAGGTGAGATATGGAAGGGAAGGTGGCGCAGTCATTTACAATGGATGTGTCACCTGATTACACCAGGTCCTCTCTGGATATCAGGCCCTGCCTACTGCTTCCCAGCTGTTTCTCATTGTTTCGTCTAGTCCTGTGTATTTAAGTCCACGTCAGAGTCTGTCACCCAGATCTGTCATTGAAGTTTTCCCCGTGCTATGTGCTGTGCTTGCAATAACCGCCCCCCCCCCCCAAACAGTTGGATTTCCGTCTGCCTGACCCTGATTCCTCATTCCCTGCTCGCTCGCCCTACGCTGGGATACAACAATAACAAGTTAAATAAAGTGCAATAAAGTCATATAAAAAAGATTGTATGGACAGACATGTAAAATGAGGAAGATAACCATTACTGAATTCTGCGGTGAAACAAGTATATCAGTATTCTTCTTCGAGAAGTATTTTTAAAGAAAAATTAAATGGTCAACGTGTTCAGGAGATAGGACGCTATGCTCAGAGCACACAATGTCACCTGCCGTACTAAACACACGCTCTGAAGGTACGCTAGCCTGCGAGCTACTCATAAATGATCAAGTCAAAATGATCTACCTACTATATAAATGCAAAACATATATTTATGTATAAAAATATTGAGTATTCTTTAATATTATTTATTATTATTACTATTATTATTATTAATTTCCCTTTGGGATGAATAAAGTATTTCTGAATTGAACTGGGATTTTAGTTCCTTCACCTTTCTATTTCTCAGCTTGCTTTTCAGAGGGAAGTTAATGTCATAGTTTTGATGAACAGTCCGAAAATGCCGCTCCACATTTCCCTTCTTCGAAATAGCAACGGTAGACTGACAGATGAGGCAAATGCACTTCGAATATGACATGGTGGAAAAAAAACAGTCCTCCTCCCATTCCGTATGGAAGTGGCAGGTTTTTGGCTTCTTACTTGGTCCAGCTCCCCCATTCATTTTTATACCCTTTCTTAAGTTTAGTAGAAATAAATTGGAGGCTAATTAGGCGACTCGGTAGCTTGTAGCAGCTGGCGCGGTTGAACGCGTCATCCATCCTCTATTTATTATGCCATATGATCTACCCACACTACCTTTGCGATCGACCAGTAGATCGCGATCGACCTATTGGGCACCCCTGGTGTAGCTTTTAACGTGAATGCGTACTTGTGTATCAGTTATATGCATCCCTGATTATTACTACAATTTGCAGGCATTCCTTTACAAGAACAGCTACGCTATTTATAGATCTAAAAATAGACCATAAGATGAGATGTCCGACAGGATGCTTGCTGTAAAAACATGATCATTTATTTGACTCTAATGACCCTTTCAGACAGTAAATTCTCTATAATATACTCTGGGACTAAGGTGTTTACGGCATGGGCTACCTTAGCCTCTTTGATGCCGGGGTAGAGGTCGCAGATGGCAGCTACAGCTGCGTCTTCTGAGATGATCCCGTAGCCATCCTCGTCCCACTTGCTGAACTCGAAGGCCAGCCAATCGCGGCGCGTCCGGCTGCCAGGGCTGCCTTCGTCGGCCTCGCAGCAGGACGTCGGGTGGGAAATCAGGTAGCGTAGGCCGGTCACCCAAATGTTAGCCACATCTGCTGAGAGCGCCACCAGGTCAAGGGATTGGTACTCGTCGCCATAGATGATGGAGAAGGCGGCTTCCTCGGGCAGCTGCTCGGCGGGGCCGTTGTGGCGGAACGTGTCGGTGCTCTTGCCCGTGCGCACCTCCCGAATCGCGGTGATGTCCAGCCGGGCGCGGTCCCCGTCCTTCTTCGAGGGCTCCCAGCGCAAGCAGGTGAGCTCCGGGTCCAGCGTGTAGAAGCGGCAGTAGATGCGAGAGCTGGGCCGCACCTTCTTCAGCTCGCAGCCGCCCTGCATGAAAGCCAGGCAGTCGCTGGCGCTGCTCACCTTCTTCTCAGAGGGCATGCTGCTGAAGGAGACTGTCTTCTTCCTCCCACCACCCACTTTCTGTACCGTCGGGTCCTGGGATAGAAGAGAGAGATGAAGCGAGAGCAGAGATACAGTCAGTGCCACCGGTTTCCCTAACTGTGAGTCACATGCCATGCGCTACAAACGTAACACCTAGAAATAACCTTGACGGAGAACACCTCAAAACCCCTGTGATACTCCTGAAATGAAAATAAACAGACCCTTAGCGTGGGAACTACACCAAGTTCCCATACAGGTGTGTTTTTACTCAAGTTCTTCCAGGCTGATAGCCAACATCTCAATGAGTTCCGCCTTATTCATACCTGCTCGTTTGAACATTTCAGTGAGGATCGGCAGTTTTCATCAGTAATTCATTACTGGTTGCTGGTATCATCTGTTTTTATGAAAAGTCATTTCAAAACAGCATGAAACAGCATTCATTCCAGTTTCGTCACAAAGAGATTATGAGTAGCTGTGATTGTAACGTCTTAAAAGGTTAGTGCAGCTGACAATAATAAAACCTGTTGCATATAACACAGCAGTATATTTCTTCCATATTTAAACATATGGAATTATGAAAAAAAAAAAGGAGAGTAATAACAGGTACAGCATTTACTAATCCTGTAGTCAGATTTTTCAAAAGCAGATCAACAGCAAATGCCATTGTATACACAAGAAGCAAGCAGCCATAACCATGGGGGCTGGGGGGCATATATAAGGACATCATCGACAGCCATGGGACCTGGGGACATATGCTATATGGAGAAAAGTATTGGGACACATGGCCATTACCCCCATAGGAATTTTTATGACATCTCATTCTAAATCCACTCTGGCTCTGTGCAGCCAGTCCAGTTCTTCCACACCAAATTCACCCAACCATGTCTTTATGGACCTTGCTTTGTGCACTGGGAGCGAAACTAAGAGTTCCCTTCACTGGAACTAAGAGGACTAGCCCAACCCCTGAAAAACAACCCCATACCATTATCCCCCCTCCACCAAACTTTACAACTGGCGTGACAGGTAACGTTCTCCTGACAACCGCCAAACCCAGACTTCCATCAGACTGCCACACAGAGAAGTGTGATTGGTCACTACACAGAAGACATTTCCACTGCTCCAGTGTCCAGTGGCAGCGTATTGTACCCTTCCATCTGACACTTGGCACTGCGCTTGGTGAGGAGAGGCTTGCATGCAGCTGCCTGGCCATGGAGGCCCATTTCATGAAGCTCCCAAGCCGCACAGTTCTTCTGCTGGGGTTAATGCCAGAGGAGGTTTGGAATTCTGCAGTTATTCAGTCAACAGAGTGTTGGTGACTTTAATGCACTATGCACCTCAGCACTCAGCGACACCAGAGACAGCCATATTACTGACCGAGCCAGACATACCCCAAATCAACAAAAAGCATCCAAACTTCCCCAGGCCACTGGAATTGAATGAAACCTGCACTAGTGGCCAAAATTATGAAAACGCTTCCAAGTTTTAGAGATTGCAGAACTTTAATCCAGTTACTCCATTTACTTATGATATTTGTAAACATTCTTTCATGGTTTATAAACATTACCGCCAATATTTGTGTAGTAATTTTTAAAGCATAATGCCAAAAAAGCTAGATGTTTCCACAGTTTTGGCCACTAGTGTACTCACTACTGGAAAAAATACTTGGAAATACAATGTGCTTATGTCATAGCATAACCTGATGGTCTTCTATTGAAGGACATCATAGACAGCCCTGCAAATTTCACAAAGATGAAGGCGTTTAAGGTAGTGCCTGAAATAGACGAGATGCAAAAGGAGATATTTTCCATTTAAGAGTCAACCTTTTGTCCTCAAAATGTCCTGCTTGGGGGCAAAAGGCTGAGCAAATGATTAAATATAGAAGCAGCGTAACTTGACATGACCAAGCCCCATCTGATCAATAATGCAGATGACTCAGTGGAAACAGAGCCTGGATCCGTCCTGCAGCAGGGGACCAGGCCACTATTACTGCCTTCCATGATGCCCTCGCAGATCCTGCCCTGGACTCCTCACGCTGAAATGGCAGGGTTGAAATGGCAAGTTGTCTCTCTGAGACTCATTCATCACTGGCAACCGAAGGGCCAAGAAGAAACCGAACAAATGGTTGGATCAGGGAGACCAGGTCACCCAGGGTTTAGACAAAAATAGCCGGGAAATAAAACGAGATAAAGTCTCCGAGAAAATGTGGAGGAGGCTTTGGCAGGCGGTGTCTGGCAGTGATGCCGGGAAGGGCAGAGGAACAGATAGAACTGATTCCCAGCCTTGATGTCCATTTGAGAGGTATGATTACATGCTTCAGAAATGCATCAATTTGGCTTAAAGTGGAATTGACCGTTTTCCTACTTAAGGGGGTATTGGGTAATATGTTGGCGTCAGGAATAGGGGGTACACACCCCCCCAATATCGGCAGACCCCCCCCCCCTCAAAAAAAATAAAGTGTGTCCCTTATCTATTATTATGAATCTGTGTGTTACTGAGGCTAATTTGCTGTGCATGCAGAGCGTGAGAATGAAACATATACCTAAAAAAGATTGTAGTCCTATCAGACAAACTCATTTTATCATATGGGTCAGTTTTTTTTTGGTTTCAATTAGTTGTAAAAAGTATCCCTAATCAGTGTTAGTCATATTTTAAAATTACTTAGTCTTACTCTAAAATCCTTTCTAAAATCACATCCTTTTATGATGTAACTATTGCGTGTATGCCCATTGTGGTGTCACTATACTCATCACACCCATCCCCCTGCCTCGCCGCCTGGGTAAATTCGCCCCCCCCCCAATGTGAAACTCCTCCCAACGCCCCTGCTGGTGGTGCAGCAGGAAGCACTGTTTCATCGCCTCCAGTGCTGGGAGTGTGACTCCTTCCCCCGCTCTCTCTTGCATGTTCCCTCCACGCTGCTCTGGCGTTCCCCTGGTACTCCAGTCTCTCGCCCACTGTGAGTGAGTGTGTGCCCGCCAAAGGCCTGCCATCCTGACTGGGGCACCCCCCCCTTGTGCCCAGTGCTTCCCTACACAGCCTGCAGGCTGACCCCATGACCCTGCTCTAGCTAAGAGGAAGGAAGATGAGTAATGTGTGTTTTTATTTTCAATAGCTTCTGAACAGAAGATGCAGGTGCAGGTATTCAGTACACGGATATGACAGCAGACAGATATGTCATGCTATAATCTCCACACTCAGGGGGCCAAGACTTCATCATACCACAACCCTGCCTTACGTTGCCTTTTACAAGCAGCACAAGTCAGCCCGTTGGCTTGGTCTTCACTATGATTTGCCATCCTGTTGTGTCATTACCAAGTACAAATGCTCCTAATGCCTTCCCTCAAAACTGATTGCTAGACTCCACTTCAATCATATGCCTGATTCTATCCAGACATTTGAACTGTATTAATGTAATCTATCCATCTGTAAGGCTGCTGCAGTAACAAATGGCTCGCCTAATACACCCTGCGCCCTCCCCACATTGCGAGTTTGTATGTCTGAATGCCTACTTTGAGTACCACGCTTTTCTCCCTGGCACGGTCGTTAGGCAAACTGGCACATCAAGATTGCCCGTCATGTGTGATTACATGTGTGAGTGTTTATGTGCCCTTTGAGGGACCGACACTCCATCCAGGATCTTCCCCAGTATTGTTCTCTGTGCTTACTGGAACCGGCTCAGGGTTCCCCAAGACCCAGCACTGGATAAGTGCCTTAAAGATAGATGGATGGATGGAATGATGGATGGGTGGATGGATGGAATGATAGATGGGTGAATGGATGGATGGGCTACATAATAATCTCAATTTTAAAAAATGAATTTACTTTATTCCTAAGCAGCATCATAGAGAATAGATGGTCAAGGCTTTTCCTTTCAACAAGCACTCGTCAGGAACATTTTAATAACTCCCATGATGGTCACCCTCCCATCCACAAACACACAGCCATTTACATCAATGTATCACAACATTCTTAATGGTCTGGGCAGTGTTTCTTTAATAATCACACAAATTCCGCTCTTGGCCCCATAGCGCCACATGAACGTTTATTGCCAAGGCCTCATCAATTTCACAGCAGCAGATTTACAACAGCAAGACCAGGCAACACTGAAATTCATCTACACCCCAGCTGTACTGACAAAGAGCTCAATATTACTATTTAAGGTTATTCTGTCTTTATTAAGTCTGCAGAGACAGACATCTTCCGTGTTACGGCATCCATCCATATTCAAGCTGATACACCATTGAAAGTTTAGAATTCTTTCCCGCCTCATCTGTCCTATTTAATTGAGCTATTGAAGATATAATGCCCATTGGAGGGTAGCCAGCTAAACTGGGAGCTTGTGAATCACAAGTATCTGCCGTCATATCCAGCAATCCCAGATTAACATGAACAAGCCTGTTTGTACTTCATCAGCAGCTGGGGCTGCTCTCTCCAGAGAGTCTCTGTGCCTTTCGCTCACAGAACAAGCAGAGCCATGATCTCTCACCCTGATCTAGAATCAGTTTCAGAATGTTTTTTTGACTTAAATTGTTCACTTTTTCCTGTGGGACATCTGGGTCTTTTGGCGTGATGGCAGCTCCTGACAGGGGGACTTATAAGCCTCAGGTCACGCTACCCTCTTTACTCACAGACCCGCCATGACACTTGGCAGAGGCAAGAAAGTATTTAAAATCCACTCTGCCTGTAGCTTCTCAGTAGAAGCGCATCTGTATGGGAAGCTTGCTCCTCAACTCTACGACCCCATGTGGCTAGATATGGGGTCGCTCTGAACACTGCTGATCGCCACTCAGTCAATCAGTCTAATATGGTCGATTTTATGAACCAATCAAATAGTTTACCAACTAACATTACTTAGTGGTGGTCAATATGGTGATATTTTATCGAACCCAGTTGCAATTGTATCCACTGTGCATATTTCAGAGGTAACGTACGAATTGTTATGAGAAATTTACATTTACAGACAATTTTGTCCATAGCAACGTACAAGTTAAGCAAATAGCACATTATAGACTTAAGTGCTGTCGAGAAGTTGACTAGGCATAAGTGCGGCTAAACTG